TATTTTAATATTAAAAACAGTTCAAACTTCAAAGGGTTTTATCCAAATCCAGGTCAAGGATAACGGGGACGATAATCTTTGGTTTGCTTGGACATGACTGCAATAATCTGATGGTTAAGATTTAAGGAATTATGATGAGTTGGAAATGTGGACCGTTGAAATGATTGGATAGGGATGGGGATGAGGACACAGGAGATTCAACCGTTTCTTTCGCTTTCGTGGCATGGTCATTGAAAATTTCACAAATGTCGGATTATTTTTTTCTAACAGGCTCAAAAGTCTTCGACCCTACGTATAAACTAGTGGTCATGCCGCAAATTGCGTAGGTTGGTTGAAAACGTCTGTTACAATATTTTGTTTGAGAGTTCACTTGTAATCGCACGAGGTAGACCAGCCCTCAGTCCGAAATCAACTGCACATACGGCCTGTAAAAACCCAAAAATTGATTTTGAAATAGGTATTTGGTACCTAAATTAAGAATAATTTATTTTTTTATTTTAATTACATAATAAGAGATAATTATTTTTTATTTTTTATTTCATCTTATCTGTATATCATGTAATTTGAATTTAATATCTCTTATTTTTAACATAAAGATACAATCATTAAATTATTTAAATATTTAATAAAAAAATATAATTATTGAATTATTTAAATCGTTGATATTAATAATAATTTATTATTAAACAAAAAATAAACAAAATTTACATGTTGAAAAAAAAAAAACCTTTATAGAGTACCTTAAGGAGATGTTTATTTAGTGATGACTTCCATGTGGTCCTTTCAAAAGAATAATTGAAGTATGACGTCTTAGATAGAGTAAGCTTTTAAAAGATATGAATCAATGACAAAGTTTTTGTCATTTGTATTAATAACTACTTTAAGAAAAGTGTTTTTACGAGGTGCTAACAATTTAATAACCATTTTCATAACTTCAAAATGTTTTAGTTTATGTTCCTATTTATTATCTAAATATATCAAGAAAGATGTACTGTCTAATAAGGTTATTATGAAATATTTACTTTTATGGGTATGATGGTCCCATAGAGCCCTCCATGCAACCCGGAATTGTGACCAAGATGAAGAGCTAGAAGAGGTGTCATTTCGGCTGTTTGAAGTTGTGTGGTTCGGAATCACATCCTTACACTACCCTCCTCCAACCACTCATTTATGAATGAAGATAGAAATTGGGAGTGAAATCATTAAGCTAACCAGTTGAATGGAGGTGTAATAGCGGTATGCTCTTTTGTTTCAAAGCAACTAGCCAAAATGAAAACCCATGGCATATGGCCATGTTATACGACATGTAACCGAAGTAAAATTTCACGAGACATTGCCATGTTAGATGGCATGGAGCCGGGTGAAATGTTATGGCATGTAGCCATTTTATATGGTAGATAGCTGAAGGGAAATGTTATGATATGTAACCATCTTATACAACTGTTAGAAACTAAAAAAGAAGAAGAAGAATTTGAAGAAAAGTTTATTGCTTTTTGAAATAATAATGTATGTACAATAATCTATATATTGGTATTTACAAAGAAAATATTTCAAGATATAAAGTATATAAAGATGATATTTTAATGTATAAAATATTTACAATAAGTGTGTTAACATCTTAACATACTTTATATTTTAAAATATTCTCTTTGTAAACACCTATATATAGGTTATTGTATATACAATATTATTTAAGAAAGCAATAAACATTTCTTCAAATTATTCTTCTTCTTTTTAGTTTCTAACATGGTATTAGAGCTATTTTTCATAAGATATATCCAGATAAAACAAGTATGATCATCAATAAATAACACAAAGTATCTGGAACCCCCTAGGTGGGTGTAGGATGGTTTATCTGACCACGACACACCCTGACATAGCATATGTACTTCACATTATTAGTCAGTTTATGGTTGCTCCTCGCTCCGCTCATTATGTAGCAATACTTCGCATTATTCACTATGTTAAGGGAACACTATTTCATGGGGACTTCACTTTTTTGCTCACTCATCTCTTGAACTTCATACTTACTCAAACGTTGATTGGGTTAGAGACTCTAATTATCGTAAATCCACCATTGGATATTGTCTCTTTCTTGGTGATTCCTTAATCTCTTGGCGTAGCAAGAAGCAGCTAGTTCCATTATGTTCTAACACAGACATTGAATATCGAGCCATTTGGAGACACCACATTAGAGTTACTTAACTTACGTTGGCTATTGGAAGATATGGGTGTTCCTCAACTGCCTGCTACTAATCTGTATTGTGACAATCATAGTGCCATACAGAAATAGTGCAATACAGATTGCTCATAATGATGTTTTTCATAAATGCACTAAACACATTGAGGTTGATTGTTACTTTGTTCGCCATCATGTTGCACAAGGAACTGTTCATTTGGTTTTCATTAGCTCTATTGATTAACCAGTAGACCTTTTCATCAAGGCTCATTTTCCTGGATGCTTTCGTACTTTTCTTTCTAAACTCAAGTTGGTTTCATCACAATCACTTTGAGTTTGGGGGGGATGTTAAGATGTGAACACGCTTATTGTAAACACGCTTATTGTAAACATTTTATAACTTAGAATATTTTCTTTATATACTTTATATTTTAGAATATTCCCTTTGCAAATACTTATATATAGATCATTGTACATATAGTATTATTTAAGAAAGCAATAAACCTTTCTTCAAATTATTCTTCTTTTTAGTTTCTAATAACAACATATGGTTGAAATAAAATGCCATGGAAATGGGGTTAAGACAAGGCGATCCTCTTTCACTTTGTCTATTCACAATTGCAGCCAAAGGGCTACGTGCTCTACTAGCCAAGGCAGAAAGAAAAAACCTCTTTTAAGGGGTGGCTATCAACACTAATGCACCGATTTCCCACTTTCAGTTTGCCGATGACATTACCCTATTTAGCAAGGCTTCAGTGAGTTCTATCAAGGCAATAAAGTTTATTATGAGATGGTTTGAAATCATGTCAAGGCTCAAAATAAATTTTAACAAGAGCATTCTATATGGGATCAATGTGGACAATATGTGGATTGACATGGCAGTTCAAACTCTAAATTGCAAACACGGGAACTTGCCTTTCATTTACCTTGGGCTTTCAGTTGGTGGCAACCCGCATTTCATTAGCGTCTGGAAACTAGTGGTAGAAAAGTTTAGGCCAAAATTGGCATCTTGGAAGAGCAGACTCTTATCATCTGGAGGGCACCTCACGCTCTTCACGTCAGTACTCTCTGCTTTCGCTCTCTTTTATCTTTCACTGTTTAAAGTTCCTAAAGGCATTCTTAACGAGCTGGTTAAAATCCAAAAAAAATTTTTGTGGGAAGGCTCAGATGATTCTAAGAAAATCGCTTGGGTTAATTGGGAAAAAATCTGCCTTGCAAAATCCAAGGGTGGCCTATGAATCCCTAATTTAACAATTAGAAACACTACTCTCTTGGGTAAGTGGTGGAGCAAGTTTCATGATGTAGATGAGAATCATAAACTAGGGAAGAATATAGTTGTCTCCAAATACTATGAGAGGAATTATAATACTTCTATCACCAATTGTATAACACCTAAGATGTCTACTCTTTGGAGAGATATCCTTTCTATTGGCAGGGAAAATGAAAGAGCAAAAACACGCTTCATAGATGGATTTCCCAGGCAAATTAGTGATGGGGCAACAACTAGTTTCTAGTTTGATGTGTGGCTGGGCACCTTTTTCTTCAAACTGGAATTTCACGCCTATACAACCTTTCCCTTGATAAAGAGATGTCAGTTGCTAAACTTAAACCAATTAAAGGTCAAGGATGGCACTTCAATTGGTGTCATGAACCATTTGGAAGAGAGTTGGATGAATACAAGAGATTAGAAGACATTCTAAAGCCCGTAAACATCCGTGACACCAAGCCGAATAATTTCAATTGGATACACTGCTCATCAGGATACTCAACAAGATTAAGATACTAATTTCTCAATAATTCCACAACTTCTCTTGAAGGCAGTATTTGCAACCTGATTTGGAACCCATTGGTGCCCTCTAAAGTTAGTTTCATGATTTGGTGTCTCTTCCAAAACCACCTTCAAACTAAAGACAACCTGCTTCTTTAAGGAGTTAATTTAACAAGTAATCCACACTGCATGTTCTGCGGTGATCATCCAGAGGATGCAAATCATATCTTTCCCAAGTGTGGACGATGTCAAAAACTATGGAGCAAAATATGTCACTGGTGGGGTATCTTTTTTGTTCCCCCGGATAATGCCTCAGCCATGCTCCACCAACTTAGCTTGCTGCAAGTTCCCAAGAAAGCAAGAAATAGTTAGAACCTCACAATCTCAACAATTGCTTGGTCCATTTGGGTAAGCAAAAATGGTATTCTTTTTGAAAAATAGCCTTGGAATGAAAGCAGATTGATTGACTTAATTCAATCAAAAACTTTTTGCTGGATCAAAGGAAATTCTACTTGTGCTAAGTTCAGTTTTATGGATTGGTGTCAATTTCCACTCCATTGTGCAGTTGACTCTTAAATTCTTGCTAAACTTTTGATGTAATGTATGTAGACCTGACAAAAATACAACCGACCCGCAAAAACAGGTTATGGTCTACATATTCCAATCCGTAACCCATAGATAACTCGTATTATCAACCCATACGGATCACGGGTCGGGTTAGGGTCAACCTGAGAGTTGATGGGTTGACTCGTTTGTTTTATTTTTTATTATTATTTTTAAATATTATACTTATTATTCTTAATTAATTTTCCTATTGTTAACTCCTTCCATTAATTCATACTCCCTGATTTCTAGAGAAAGACAAAGAAATTATGATGAGTTTGATCTAATTATCCAAGTATCAATTTTTTTTTTCTGTATTAACAATTACCCAAGTATCATGAATGAAATGATAATGCAACTAAAAATATTAAAAGATGTGATGTTATGATATAAACATAATGACTTAGTGAAAGATGTTCTTGGAAGAGTAATTTCATCGTTAAAAAAATGGTTTAAACTACTTGATAATGTTTCAAGATGATTGTAAAATTAAAACTTTATTTTCTAAGAAATTTAAATATTTTACGTTTAATATTGTTATTGTTAATCAACTTATTATTATTTATAACCTTATGATTTTTTTCTTAATTTAATTGTTTGTGGTTGAGACTATAAAGTACATAGTTTTAATGAATCACAATACTTTAATTAGATTAGATATATATAATTTTATTTGTATATAATAAAATTAATAGAAAATAACTATAAAGAATAAAAATAAGGTCAACCCACAGGTTAACCTATAATCCGTTAGGGTCGGATTAGGGTTGGACTTTTCCAACCCACAACCCGTTCATAACCAAACTCGTATAACCCATCATCCGAGTTGATCCAACTCGAATCCGACCCAACCTAAACCCAACCTAAACCCAACCTAACCCAACTCACCCGTTTGCCAGGTCTAAATGTATGGGTGAGTACCCCTTGTAGTCTCTTTTTTAATAAAGCTTTTCTATTCATCAAAAAAATAAAATGTAATAAAATACCATTGCTTGTGATCAATTATTATTATTATTATTATTATTATTATTATTTTATGGACTTTCTCCCTCCCCCGAGGGGTCAAGGTAAAACCAAGGTGGAAAGTGGGCATGTCTGACATCATGTCAACCTATTTTTGGAGTTCTTGCATGCATGCCAATGCATCACATAATAGTTTGATGCAAGTGACAGGTCACGTCTATGACCATTAGATCGAAGCGATCACACTCGTTGGATCTTAGCGATTCATGGGTGTAAATAGGCGGGTGGTTGGGCACACCTGAGCACTTGAGATTTCGCTATACCAAAGTGTTGCTGGATTTCCATCAAGTCTTTTTGTTTTTTACATATTTTTTTCATCACGGCCTTCTATAAATCAGGTAATGATATCTATGAGCTATTCTTCTATTTTAAGTGAGGAATCAGAACTTGTTATTCAAGCTATATGCTTAGATTTAAGTCTAGTTAGGGTAATCAGGTAAAGAACCGAGAGTGAGATCGAGCTTGTGAATGACCCTTTGCATTTTCTGTTGAATAGCTTGTAAATGTTTGAGATCCCACGTCAAGAAAAGTATAGGAACTTAAAGGAGTTTATAAATGCCTATCCTTTATCAACAAATAATTAAGTAAAGTGAAACCCAAGGGAAATTGGGCCTTGACCTTTTATATATAGTTAAAAGATGGGCACTTGGGGCACCTTAGGGCTTGACTGCCTGAACATCTTTAATTTTTTATTATTTTTGGATTTTTTATTTTATTAAATTATAATTTGGAAAGACATGTCTGAAAATCAAACATGACTAGTGGCAGTCAAAAGGTACCTCTATGAAATGGTGTGTTTTAGAGGGATACATCCCTTCAAATAGTGACTTTTCAAGCATTATAAATTCCTATGCAATTTCAAAGTTTTACATCCAATTCTGAGAGAGTTTTGAGTTATGTTGTATTATGGAGGATTTTAAATCCTTAAAGAAAGTGAGATTACGCCTCAGAACAATTCTTTTATTCTTCTGCCATTTCTTTTTTTTCTTAACAATCTTAAGGATTTAACATCCCTTATGGCTCTTCCTATAAACGCCAACATCAAGTTGCTGAATCCAAATGCAATCAGATTGGATAGGTTCGATGGCACCAACTACATGCGTTGGAAGGATAAGATGACTTTCCTACTAACAACACTGAAGGTGTCATACGTTCTTGATCCAAAACTGCAACTTGTCCAAGCACCGAAGGAAAATGATTCTGAAGCAGTGAAGAATGCAAGATTGAGGCGCGAAGAAGATGAACTCATATGTCGTCGACACATTCTGAATTCTTTCACTGATAGACTTTTGATCTGCATAGCAACATGTCTTCTCCTCAAGAAATTTGGATTGCTCTGGAAAAGATATACAAGCATGAAAAGAAAGGTACGGACAAGTTTCTTGCACTTAAATATTTTGAGTTTGAAATGAAAGATGACATTTCCATCATGGATAAAGTGCATGAATTACAAATTCTGGTATCAAGAATGTCAGAGTTGGAGATAAAGATTCCAGATTCACTTCGAGTGGGGGCAATACTTTCAAAACTTCCTCCACCTTGGAATGATTATGGGAAAAAGGTTCTGCATTAAGATGAAATTCTGACTATGGAACAGTTTCAAACACATCTCCAGATTGAGGCAGAAAATCGTTCAAGAGATGCAATATTGGCACCCTTGAAAGTTAATTATGTGAGTCAAAATTCTGCCAAGCCTTTCCAGAATAAACTCAAGCCTTTTAAGAAAAATAGTGCTTTCAAGAAAAGTCAGCCTTGTTACCATTGTGGTAAGAAAGGTCACTTCATTAAATATTGCAAATTTAGAAATAGTGCAAGGAACTTTGGTTCTGGCACTAGTGCAGAAACAAGCAGCAAGGCAAATTTGATTGAGCATGAATTGGTTGCTATGGTTTCTGATATGCAAGTCGGGATGGTGACTAAATTGAACATGGCAAATCCAACCAAGTCTATGGATTGGTGGCTGGATTCTGGTGCAATAGTTCATGTGTGCAATAACAAAGCACAATTCAAGTTTTATGAAGATTTGAAGGAACCAGAGGAAGTGCTTATGGGAAACAATGTCACTATAAAAGTTCTAGGCAAAGGCACAGTGGAATTAAGGTTCACTTCGGGCCACAAATTGACCTTGGTTAATGTTTTCCATGTGCTTGATATTAGAAAGAATTTGGTGTTTGTAAATCTGTTGTGTAAAAGGGGCTTGAGGGTTGTCTTAGAATCAAACAAGGTCATTATATCAAAAAATGGCAACTTTGTGGGGGAAAGGTTATTCTTGTGATGGAATATTTAAATTGAGTATTAATGAAATAAATAATGTTTCTGCTTATATTGTTGAGTGTTCTTCTACTTTATAGCAGGCTAGACTAGGACATATGAATTATGAATCATTAAAATATATGTCTAAGCATGGATATTTAACTTGTCAAAATGATTTTAAAAATAAATGTGAAATTTGTGTGCAAGGAAAGATGACTAGAAAACCTTTTCCAAAAAGAGAAAGAAATATGGAAATGTTAGAGTTAGTGCATTCTGATATTTGTGAATTAAATGGTCATCTTACTAGAGGAGATAAAAGATACTTCATAACATTTATTGATGATTGTTCTAGATATACATATGTGTATCTTATGAGAACAAAAGATAAGGCTTTGGACAAGTTTAAAAGAGTATAAATCTGTTGTGAAAAATCAGAAAGAGAAGAGAATTAAAGCTTTTCATAGTGATAGGGGTGGTGAGTATTTTTCAGATATGTTTTCATGATTTTGTGAAGAACATGGCATCATATATCAAAGAACAACCCCTTATTCACCCCAACAGAATGGTTTGGTAGAAAGGAAAAATAGAACTTTGGTTGACATGGTTAATTGTATGTTGATAAATTCGAAGTTGTCATTTAATCTTTGGGAAGAGGCACTTCTTACTGCCAATCATGTTACCAACAGAATTCCATCAAAGAAAACTCATGTTTCTCCATATGAGACTTGGAATAATGGTAAAAAACCAAATCTGAATTATCTTAAAGTGTGGGGGTGTCTTGCCTTTTATAAGGTTCCAGACCCACAAAGAACAAAACTAGGACCTAGAGGCATTAGAAGTGCATTTGTTGGTTATGCAATTAATTCTAAGGCCTATAGGTTACTAGATTTAGAGTCAAATGTTATAGTAGAATTTGTACTTGTTGAGTTCTTTGAAGACAAGTTTATTAAAGATTCTTCTACTATGTTTGATTCTGGAAATTCTTTGAATAATTCAATGCATGAAAATCATAATGGTACAAGTACAAGTACAAGTACAAGTACACTTCATGAGGAGAACAAAAAAGAGAATGATGGTTCAATTGAACCAAGAAGAAGTATAAGGATTAGGAAAGAAAAGTCTCTTGATCCTGATTTTATTTCTTCTAAATCTATTGTCTTCCTAGTTGAAGCAACCAGAACTGAAATAATTTGAAAAATACCCATGGTATTAAATGTTGAAGAAGATCCAAAAACATTTCAAGAAGCAATGGCTTTAAGGGATGCAACTTTTTGGAGAGAAGCTGTGAATAATGAGATGGACTCTATCATGTCAAATAATACTTGGATTTTAGTGGATCTTCCATATGGATCTAAACCAATTGGTTGTAAATGGGTATTTAGACGAAAATACAATACAAATGGAACAATACAAACCTTCAAAACAAGGTTGGCTGCAAAAGGTTTTACTCAAAAGGAAGGAATATATTATTTTGACACATATGCTCCTGTTGCAAGAATAACATCTATAAGAGTTCTCTTTGCATTGGCTTCGATTTATAAGCTGTTTGTGCATCAAATGGATGTTAAAACAACATTCTTGAATGGTGACTTAAGTGAGGAAGTATACATGGAACAACCAGAAGGCTTCATACTTCTGGAAATGAAAGAAAAGTTTGTAAATTAGTTAAGTCACTATATGGCCTAAAGCAAGCTCCTAAGCAATGGCACTAGAAATTTGATACACATATTCTAGCAAATGGATTCAAGCATAATGATGCAGATAAGTGCATCTATTCAAAGTTCACCAAGGATTATGGAATTATAGTATGTCTCTATGTTGATGACATGTTGATATTTGGTATCAACATGTTGGGAATAAATGAAACCAAAAAGTATCTAACTTCAATCTTCAAAATGAAAGCTTTAAATGAAGTAAGTACTATTTTGGGTATTAAAGTAAAGAGACATGATCATGGCTTTGTACTTAGTCAATCACATTATATAGAGAAGATGTTGAATAAATTCCAACATCTTAATATAAAGGAAGCCCCTACTCCATATGATCCTAGTATGAAGTTGACCTTAAACCTAGGTCATATTGTTGCTCAATTGGAATATGCAAGTGCAATAAGGAGTTTAATGTATGCCATGCATTGTACTAGGCCAAATATAGCCTTTGCAGTATGCAAATTATCAAGATACACAAGTAAACCAAGCCATGAACATTGGAAAGCTATTAGAAGAATTCTTGGTTATCTTAAAAAGACAAAAGAGCTTGGTTTGATTTACTCAGATTATCCAGTGGTCTTAGAAGGATACACTGATGCAAGTTGGATCACTAGTAAGAGTGATAACAAATCTACTTCGGGTTGGATCTTTACACTTGGAGGAGGTGCAATAAGTTGGGCATCAAAGAAACAAACATGCATCTCACATTCTACAATGGAATCTGAGTTTATTGCTTTAGCAGCAGCAGGCAAGGAAGTAGAATGGTTGAGAAATTTATTGCTTGATATAAAGTTGTGGCCACAACCTATGCCAGCCATTTCCTTGCACTGTGATAGTGAGGCTACAATGTCTAGAGCATATAGCAATATTTATAATGGGAAATCTAGACATATTAGTCTCAAACATACTTATATTCGACAGTTGATCACTAATGGAGTTATAACAATAATCTATGTAAGGTCTGCAAACAATCTAGCTGATCCTCTCACAAAAGCATTACCACGAGATATGGTGGAAAGGATGTCATTAGGAATGGGGCTTAAATATTTAAATTAGGCATTGGTAATGGAAACCCAACTTTTATTTAGTCATTTCTAAATTTAAAGTTTAATGGGTAAGAACAAGTTACTATATATGCCTGTTTAGCGCTTGAAACCTATTCCTACTTTAGTCAAGTGCTGACTGTTGCGTTTTGGAGGATGAGTGTAAACTCTTAATGGAGTTGATCATTGCTAAGTGTCCATAGCAACAGAGACATAAAGAACTCCACCTAAATAGTCATAGAAGTGGTGTCGCTTCAACAAGAAAATGTTGGATTCTCTTGTAAATGACCATTATTAGCAGGATGAGCACATGACCATAATAGTGCTAAAAGGTTTCAAACCTCTTGGATTAGATAGACAAGTCTTATGTGTGTCACACACTTATGTCTAATATAAGTAGTTATGGTTTAATCTTTGGACACCAATAACTTCATTAGATATGAAGTATGTACACTAATGGAAGGTTTAAATCGAGAGATACCTTCTTTAAGCGTGTTACTTGTCAAGTAAAACTAAATTAACATTTCCAAACTAGTAGGGGAATGTTGAATAGTTTGTAAATGTTTGAGATCCCACATCAAGAAAAGTATGGGAACTTAAAGGAGTTTATAAATGTATATCCTTTATCAACAAATAATTAAGTAAAGTGAAACCCAAGGGAAATTGAGCCTTGGCCCTTTATATATAGTTAAAAGATGGGCACTTGGGCACTTGGGGCACCTTGAGTCTTGACTGCCAAAACATCTTTAATTTTTTATTATTTTCGGATTTTTTATTTTATTTTATTAAATTATAATTTGGAAAGACATGTCTGAAAATCAGACATGACTATTGGCAATCCAAAGGTACCTCTATGAAATGGTGTCTTTTGGAGAGATACAAACATGACTATTGGCAGTCAAAAAGTACCTCTATGAAATGGTATCTTTTAGAGCGATATATTCCTTTAAATAGTGACTTTTCAAGCATTATAAATTTCTATGCAATGTCAGAGTTCTATATCTAATTCTGAGAGAGTTTTGAGTTATATTGTATTCTAAAGGATTTTAAATCCTTAAAGAAAGTGAGATCATGCCTTAGAATAATTCTTTTAATCTTTTGCCATTTCTTTTTTTCTTAATATTCTCCACCTCCCAACTCTAAGTTACGAAACGAAAGAAATGGCCT